CTTTACGAAAAGGTGGACCTGCACAGAGAATTTTCTGTCTTAGGCTGTAGTATCCATTACGAACTTTAAATACCAAATTTGAAACTATTCCGGTTAATAGTGTCGCTAAAATCATCAAAATGCCGAATATCGGGAGGTACCGTTGTATGGGATCTATACCAAAACGTGGACCTACATGGTCCATTTTGAATACAAAAAGTCGTGCAGACATAATATACATTTGAGTAAAATTTGATCAACCTAAATCATTTCGTTCGGAAGCTTGAGTGATATCCACAGATGGATAGACGGACATCGGTAAACGGACGTGGACCTACATGGCCCATTTTCAATACAAAAAGTCCTGCGGACATAATATTCATTTGAGTACTATTTTATTAACCTACTTTATTTCGTTTGGAAACTAGAGTGATATCCACAGACGGACGGACATCGCTAAATCGTCTTAGAATTTTATGCTGATCAAGAATATATGTACTTTGTGGGGTCTAAAATGTATATTTCGAGGTGCTACAAACGGAATGACAAACTTAATATACCCTCCGTATTATGGTGGAGGGTATAACAATTCACTCAGTTTTCGGAATTGTATGTTTACTTTTTACAAAACCTTTCCTATAGCTCTTCATATGTTTCAGAGATTTCGCTGTAAAGCGGTGGTATGGAATTAATAAAACATCCTATAAAAAAGCTGTCCATATAAGTCCAAATTGCGGTGCGGTATTTTTATACCCTACACCACATAGTGGTAAGGGTATTATGTCTTTGTTCAATTTGTTTGTAACATGGAGAAGGAAGCGAGATAGGCACATAGTTACTTTTGAGGATCTCCATAGAATCAATTTCTGAGTTGATTTATGCATGTCAGTCTGTCTGTCCGTCCGTCCGTCTGTCCATGTATTCTTGTGAACAAAATGCAGGTCGCATTTATTATTCGATTGAGATGAAATTTTTGCACAAATCATTTGTTTGGCCCAAGGACGAACCCTTTTGAAATTGAAAATTTAGATATAGCTCCCTCATATATCTTCGTCCGATTTGCCTTTTATTGTGCACCAAACGTGTAATATCAGCCCGGAATTTTGCACATACAACCAAATTAGGCCTGAAAATAAGTACGCCAAATTTGATCGAAATCGGTTCAGATATAGCTATAGCTTTCATATATATTGTTCATCCGATTTGTTATTTTTATCCTCCACAGCCGTAATATGCACTCTGTAACAACAATATTTGGGGAAATATATCAAATGCAGCTCCTAAATACCTTTGCTAAATTTTATCGAGATTTGGATATATCTCCCATATATAACTTCGTCCGATTTACCTTTTATTGTGCACCAAACGTCTAATATTTGCCCAAATGGGATGGAATTTGGCACATACGACCGAATTGAGTCTAGAAGATAGAATGACAAATTTGCTGAAGATCGGTTCGGATATAGCTATAGCTCCCATATATATTGTGCATCCCATTTGTTGTATTTGATACCCACAGCCGTAATATGCACTCCGTAACAACGATTTTCAGGGAAATATATCAAATACAGCTCAGAAATATTTTTGCCAAATTTTATCGAGATCGAGATTTTATACCTCCCATATATATCTTTACCTGATTTCAAATTAATTTTGCACCAAATGGGCAATACAAATCCGAATTTACAAGATACAAATGCTTCGGCATATTCAGTCCTTTGAACTTTAAATTATAATTATAATCATAGAGTGTATGATTTAATTCTCCCAAAATTGTTATGCGGAGCTCAACTAAATTAGCCCGACTTTAGGACTTTCTTTACTGGTTTGTATTTGAATGTTTTTGGCCCAACTTATTTGTACGGATTTTTTTCAAAGTTGATAGAGCCTTGACATAGAGCCTTATTTCCAGTCATCTATAGGTACTGCTTTTCAGGAAGCCTACACATCCTGCTTTCTAGTATTTCGGTATATATAATACTTTCCTGTCATTCAAAGAGACTGCTATCCACTGTTGTGTTTAGAGACTGCTTTCAGGACGTCTGATTTATATGATTTTTCATATTTAGCCGTCCATAAAGATTTATATCCTTCCATTCACTTGTGGAGATTCTCTCCCACTCGATCGTTCACAGACCCATTAGTCTTCCATACAGACTTTTTTTTTCAAAATTTTTGGAAAATTTTAGAAAAGCATTCCTATTTCTTTAGTAAACGTATTTACTCTGATAGCTCTTGGAAAAGTATTCCCAAAAAATCGGAACAAGCATCCCATGGTAAACCAATTATTCGCACTGAATTAAAAGTAAATTATTTATTTAATAACCCAAATTTAAATTAATTTTTTTGAAAAGCAATTAAAACCCGCAGTAATTTGATGAAAACTGTAACGAATTTATTAAATGGCAATAAATCACGGCTGGTCGTCCAGAGAGCAAAGACTGATATACATACACAACCATATGCATTCACACACACACACATGCACACAGTATTGGAATATTGATGGATAAAATCGTCACAGATTTGAGGCCAAATCCTTTTTGACAACGAAATAATGGAGAGACAAGTTTTTGCTAATTTTGTGGTTGTAGAAATGTGGCGGGGGACGGGGGGTGCACAGCAATCACACGCTTACGCATTGTGGAAGAGTAAGAGAAAGTGTCTATGTGTGTGTGTGCGTGAGTCGCACTGAGAAGATTACAAACAATGTAAGTTTTTCTTTGCTTTTCGCTTAACAAATAATAGTGGGAGTAAATGTAAACAATGCAATGAAATAACAAACAAAACATACTGTCAAAAACAGAAAAAAAACTTGTTTCCGCTTTTGCTTAGTCTTCTTCTTCTTCAATTCTTCTGTTCTTCGGTTCTGCTTGTGTGCTTGTTTTTGTTGTATTTCTGCGTTATTGTTTTGTTTTTGTTTCTTTGTTGTTGTTTTCTTTTTTCTGGCTGAGTCTGAAAGGAATTCTGGCAAGAGTCCTGTTAAATTGGGGGTGGTGGCGGTGGTGGTGTCGTCCTCTCAAATTATGAGAGCAAAAGGTGGTGGCAAAAGTTATGCTCAGTTAATAATAACAATAATAATAATAATATGGAGCCATGACTCTTGGAGAGCGATACTATTTTTATACAAATACACCCAACAGTGATGGCATATTGATATGGACAACAACGGGACAAAAGCATAGAGTTATTTAAAATCCCATTGCAATTATTATACCCTCCACCATAGTATGGAGGGTATATTAAATTTGTCATTCCGTTTGTAACACCTCGAAATATAAAATTTTAGACCCCTCAAAGTATATATATTCTTGATCAGCATAAAATTCTATGTCGATTTAGCGATGTCTGCCCGTCTGTTGAAATCACTCTAGCTTCCGAACGAATTGAAGTAGATTGATAAAATTTTACTCAAATGTATATTATGTCTGCAGAACTTTTGGTATTTAAAATGGACCATGTAGGTCCACGTTTTGGTAAATCCCCCATATAACGGTACCTACCAATATTCGGTATTTTGATGATTTTTGCGACAATATTCACCGGAATTGTTTCAAATTTGGTATTTGAAGTTCGAAATGGATGTTACAGACTAAGACAGAAAATTGTCTTTCACGTCTTACTATAGCCCCCATATAACGATACCCCACAGATATTCGGAATATTGATGATTTAAGTAATGTTATTGCAGGTATTGTTTAAAATTTGGTATTTGAAATTCGTAATCGGTACTACAGCCTATGACAGAGAATTGTCTGTGCAGGTCCACGTCTTCGTATAGCCCCTCATATAACGGAACCTCCGATATTCGGTATTTTGATGATTTTAGAGACATTATTAACCGGAATTATTTCAAATTTTGTATCTGAAGTTCGTAATGGATACTACAGCCTATGACAGAAAATTGTCTGTGCAGGTCCACGTCTTCGTATAGCTCCCATATAACTGTATCTCCCGATATTCGGTACTTTGTTCATTGTAGCGACATTATTCACCTGAATTGTTTCAAATTTGTTATTTGAAGTTCGTAACACATACTACAGCCTATGACAGAAAATTGTCTGTGCAGGTTCACGTCTTCGTATAGCCCCCATATAACGGTACCTCCCGATATTGGGTATTTTGATGATTTTAGAGACATTATTTACCGGAACTATTTCAAATTTAGTATTTGAAGTTCGTAATGAATACTACAGCCTATGACAGAAAATCGTCTGTGCAGGTTCACGCCTTCGTATAGCCCCCATATAACGCTACCCTCCGATATTCGGTATTTTGATGAGTTTAGCGACATTATTTACCGGAATTGTTTCAATTTTGATATTTGAAGTTTGTAATGGATACTACATCCTAGGACAGAAAATGAGCCATGTAGGTCTACGTCTTCGTATAGCCCCCACATAACGTACCTCCCGATATTGGGTATTTTGATGATTATAGAGACATTATTTACCTGAACTATTTCAAATTTAGTATTTGAAGTTCGTAATGAATACTACAGCCTATGACAGAAAATTGTATGTGCAGGTCCACGCTTTATAATCCCCATGGTACCTCTCTATATTCCGTATTTTGATGATTTTAGCTACTTTAATAACTACTTTATTAGCTAAATTTGTACCAAATGGTGGAGTGTATTCAAAGTTCGGTCCGGCCGAACTTACAGCTTTTTTACTTGTTGTTTATTATTAGAAAAGGAAATAAATTGATTCTTCATAAAATATTAAAAAAAAATTCCTATGACTGCCCTCAATTCGTAACGTGTCAAAACGTACCCCTAAACTACAAAGTTCCATCCCTGTTACAAGCGGTTTACCACCCACCCACACCACTCAAGCATAAACATAACACACGTAAACAGAAATGACAACAACAACAACTCACCCACAACCACAAGTCCAGTAACAGCGCCGGAGAGCGCACAAGGAAGGAGTTTGTGCAGTTGGGAAAATTTGCTCTCGCATCCTTGTTAACAGCGTTGCCTGTTGTTGGCCGCTTGAAAACGACTCAAGATGGAAAATTCAAATCAGTCTACAGAAAACGCGTACGTGAACAAGAAGTAGCCGGTCGTGGCTACACTTTCGGCGTGTAATATTTTGTCGGTATGATAAATAAGTGATACACCCTGTAAAAGTTCAGTAAGTTGAGCCTCAAGCCAAATAGGATAGCTGGAGACAAAAAAGAAGAGGAAGAAAAAATAAAAAAAAGAAATTGTTTTGTTGTTTTAATCAAGGCGCAAAAACGCAAACTCACACAAACACACACACAAAGTTACTCAGAGAAGAATAACAAAAAGCCATAAAAACAAAAAAAATAAACATCAAAGAAATACTGCCAAAAACAACAACAAGAAGAAGAACAACAACAACAAACGGCCATTTGTTGAGAGCTCATACTCCCCCCACACATACAGCTCCGAATGTTTCAGAAACAATAACAAATAATTAATTAATTTTCAATTAAATTTCAAAAAAAAAACGGAAAATTAAAACAGCAAAGTGTCTCAAGGATCTACAGTTCTCAAGGATCTACTGTATTTGTATGAGAACCAAAAATTTGAAAACCAAACCCAAAAAGCAATGTGAATGACTTTAAATTCGGGTGAATTAAAAAATGGTTGGATTAACGGATCTGTGGATACGGATGGATACACCTAACGGAGATTAGCAATAATTTATAAAAGAAGCAAAAAAAAAAAATAAAAACTAAAGAAAAAAGATTTAATAAATTTCCATTGAAAAGGAAAACAAAGAAAATTCTCACAAAAAAATAAAACTAATTAACGTCAAACGCATCTGGGCGACATGGCCCATCTTATGATGATGTTGCCACTTGCCAAGCTTTTTGATATACATTTACAGTTAAGTTATGAAAGGACTATGCCTAGAGACATTGTGAGTCCCCAACCCCCTCTAAAAGTCATATCAAATATTACTACTACCGTTATTACCATACCATATTTGTATGCCTTACATACCTACATATGTATATATGACATATTGATAACCAATATAAGCTTTTAGAGTTGATGCCTTATATTAATATACTATACTATACTCCCCTCCATCATATCCACATCCGTATCCTTCCAAAATTTATGGAACCCTTATTTAAAAGAAATGCCACAAATTGGAAAAATATGCTTGCTCAAAATTTGCCACATGAAATTGGAAAAAATCAGAAAATATATATACCCTCTTGATCCCCGTCCACAACCATTACTGCAATGCTGTACATATGTATATATTCATATAAATATCATATATATTTGTATATAGTATACAAATGAAATAGTCAAAATATTACATACATTACATTTATGCATTTAAACAAATATATAGAAATATAACAAGTAAAAAGGCAGCAAAGTTCCCCCCTCCGTTTGGAAGGAACTTGAAAACATTCAAAAAAAAAAAAAAAAAAAAAAAAAATGCCATCGAAAAATACCGCTTAAATAAAAACCTTTATGCCGGTGCTATACGAAGACGTGGTGCTGCATAAGTAATATTCTCTCATAGGCTGTAGTACCGATTCCGAACTTCAAGTACGAAATTTGAAAAAATTCCGGTTAATAATGTCTCTAATATCATTAAAATACCGAATGAAGGGAGATACCATTGCATGGGAGCTATACTAAGACGTGGACCCGCATAGACAATTTTCCGTCATAGGTTGTAGTACCCATTACGAACTTCAAATATGAAATTTTACCCAATTCCGATGAATAAGGTTGCGAAAATCCTGGAAATAACGAATATCTCGAGATGGCTTTATATGGTTGCTATACTAAAGCGTAGAACTACAGTTTAAGATAAAAACAAGTAAAAAAGCAGTAAGTTCGGCCTGGCCGAACTTTGAATACCCTCCACCATTTGAAACGAATTAGAAAATTTTCAAAAAAAATTAAATCCAATAAAAATTCTTTTAAAATATCTAATATAGGAAGGTGCCGATATATGGGGGGATATACGATATTGTGGACCTATGAAGACAAATCTATGTCTGCGTGTAAAGTACTCACAAGGAACTCCTTGTATGGATTTTCAGATAATTCCATTGGACAAAGTGGCTAAAATCATCAAAATACCGAATATCGGGGGGTACCGTTATATGGGGGCTATACGATATTGTGGACCTATACAGATAATTCTCTGCCGAGGTATAAAGTACCCACAAGGAACTCCTTGTGTGGATTTTTAGACAATTCCGTTGAAAAATGTGGCAAAAATCATCAATATACCGAATATCGGGGGGTACCGTTATATGGGGGATATACGATATCGTGGACCTATATAGACAATTCTTTTTGAGGAGGTAAAATGCCCACAAGGGACTCCTTTTGTGGAATTTCAGACAATTCCATTGAAAAATGTGGCAAAAATCATCAAAATACCGAATACCGTGGGGGTACCGTTATATGGGGGCTGTACGATATTGGGGACCTATATAGATAATTCTCTGCCGAGGTATAAAGTACCCACAAGGTACTCCTTGTGTGAATTTTCAGACAATTCCGTTGAAAAATGTGGGTAAAATCATCAAAATACCGAATATCGGGGCGTACCGTTATATGGGGGAAGTACGATATCGTGGACCTGTATAGAAAATTCTCTCTCAGGGGGTAAATTACTTGCAAGGAACTACTTGTGTGGATTTTAAGACAATTCCATTGAAAAATATGGCTAAAATCATCAAAATGCCGAATACCAGGGAGTACCGTTATATGGGGGCTATACGATATTGTGGATCTATATAGATAATTCTCTGCCGAGGTATAAAGTACCCACAAGGAACTACTTGTGTGGATTTTCAGACAATTCCATTGAAAAATGTGGCTAACATCATCAAAATACCGAATATCGGGGATACCGTTATATGGGGGCTATACGATATCGTGGACCGATATAGCCCATCTTCGAACTTGACCTACCTGTAGACAAAAGAGAGATCTGTGCAAAATTTTAGCTTCCTATCTTAATTCGTTTAGACTGTAGCGTGATTACACGGACGGACGGACAGACGGACAGGGCTAAATCGTCTTAGAATTTTACGCTGATCAAGAATATATATACTTTGTTGGGTCTAAAATGATTATTTCGATGAGGTACAAACGGAATGACGAACTTAATATACCCTCCATACCTTTTTTGGTGGAGGGTATAAAAATTGCAAGATAGTCAAAAGCCATAAGTTTTATATTTTTATACCCTCCACCTTGGAAAGGAGGGTATATTAACTTTGTCATTCCGTTTCTAACATGTTTAAATTTGTCGTAGATCCTATATGTATATATATATATATATATATATATATATATATATATATATATATATATATATATATATATATATATATATATAATATATATATATATATATATATAATATATATATATATATTCATGATCAGCATCCGTCTGTCTGTCTGTCCGTCTGTCTCTTGAAATCACGATGCAGGCCACATTACTTGACGTAGAGCGTCAAAATTTTTCAGAATAATTTGTATTGTGTCTAGGATGGTTGGTATTGAAAATGACATATATCGACTCACTTTTTGGTATAGTCCCCATATAACGGTACCTTCCGATATTCGGTATTTTGAAGATTTATGCCGCATTTTTTCATGGATTTGCCTAAAAATTGGTATTTCTTGGTCATAGTGGGTTCTAGCTCTGATGGCGAAACATTTATAGGTCCACGTTTTAGTATAGCCCCCATATTGCGGTACATCCCGATATTCGGTATTTTGATGATTTTTGCCACATTTTTTCACGGATTTATCTGAGAATTGGTATTTGTAGGTCATAATGGGTCCTAGTTAGTGTGGCGAAACATTGTATGCATAGGTCCACGTTTTGGTATAGCCCCCATATAACGATATCTCCCGATATTCGGTATTCTGATGGTTTTTGTCACAGTTTTTCACGGACTTGTCTAAAAATTGGTATTTGTGGGTCATAATTGGTTCTAATGTTTCCGTTATCCTGAGGTGATAGTATTCGCTTGTAGATAAAAATTCGGGGAGGGTTTTGAGTTCCAGGGTCAAACTTTTTTTTAGGACCCATTATATAGCCTTAACCATACACAAAGAGCCTCAAATATTTTGCTCTATTCTTCGCAAAACTTAAGATAGACATTTTAAATTTGATACAGGCCTATGGGTTACTTGTTCAACAATTTGTACATAATAAAGTTCATGTCGGTCCACGTTTTGGTATAGCCCCCCCCCCCATACAAGGGTATAATCAGATTTGAAGTAATTTTACATTGTGGCCATATTTTTCATACTCGTTTCGGCAAATTTTAATAATTTGAATTCTTAATAAGATGAAACCATCCCTGAAGCAAACTATCAATATAGACCCACGTTGTGGTATAATCCTCATATGAAGGTGTGCCCCTGATTTCAGCTATTTCCGGGGTCCTAGCCATTTCTGAATTGATTTTGCCCTTATTTGGTATCTTGATTTTAAAAGAGGGTAAAAATCTCTTTGCATAAATTGTCAATGTAGGTCAATGTTTTGGAGTGGCGCCCATATAAGGGTACCTCCTAATTTTACCTACTTCGAGGGTCTTGAACGCATTTTCCAATCGACTTGGATTGCGTAAAAACATATTTTCGGATAAAAGCCGTACTTTATGTGAATATATGCAAAATGCTCCTACAAAGCGACACTTTAGAAGAATGCTCTCAAGGACTAAATCTTTCTTCATCAAATTTCACTATAAATCACCAAGGAAAAGAAATAACGGGGGATATTTGGGCCAAATCCATTTCAGGACATTTGAAGTCGATTTAGCACATAGCTTTTGCGCCAACTTTGCACATCCCACTATTTATACCCTACACCACAAGGTGGTCGGGGTATTATGTCTTTGTGCATTTGTTTGTAACAGGCAAAAGGAAACGAGATAGACCCATAGTTCCTTTTGATGATCTGCATAGAATCACATTCTGAGTCGATTTATGCATGTCCGTCCGTCTGTCCATGTATTTTTGTAAACACAGTACAGTTCGCATTTATTGCCCTATCCAGATGAAATTTTGCACAAATCATTTGTTTGGCCCAAGGCCGAACCCAATGGAAATTGGAGATAATCGGTAAAAATTTAGATATAGCTCCCATATATATCTTTGTCCGATTTGCTTTTATTGTGCACCAAATGTCTAATATTTGTCCAAATGGGATGGAATTTGGCACTTACGACCGAATTGAGTCTAGAAGCTAGTATGTCAAATTTGGTGGAGATCGGTTCAGATATAGCTATAGCTCCCATATATACTGTCCATCCGATTTGTTATATTTGTTACCCACAGCTATAATATGCACTCCGTAACAACGATATTCAGGGCAATATATCAAATACAGCTCAGAAATATCTATGCCAAATTTTATTGAGATCGGTTCGGGTTTTGATATAGCTCCCATATATATCTTTATTCGACTTTAAAAAAAGGTAATATAAAAATCCGAATATCTCTAAATTTCGTACATCACAATATTTCTACCATCGCAAGATCTGGTATGAAGATGCTAGATATCGGCCAACTTCTTCTGGCATCTTCCACACAATTTTTGGCCCTCTACTTCTGACACCTCCCCCACAAAGGGTTAAAATATTTATTAGCTATTATTCCCTTAAAATTGGTAACTATTCTAATAATCCGAATGGCCAGGACCCCTGAAATAAATGATAATGGGGTGGGTTATGTTAATATAGTATGATTTTTAGAGCTTTATTAGACCTACCACTGATACAAATATTAGAATTTGCAAAGTTGGAGTAAAATCGTATTATCCTTTCTCTTTCTATGCAGCCTTTTTTTTTTGAAATTTTGAAACTTTGTGGTATATATAAGGTACCAGAAGGGGTGGACCGAACTCAGAACTCGA